ACGGTAAGACTATATGTGAATGAAAATGATAATAGAGACTGACAGTTCAGTAGTAGCAAATCAAACATCAGTAAATTGTTCTCACTTCATATGATTTAGCCTTGTATTCCCGGGAATTTAGACTGGCAGTATTCTTTGGACGAATAACAGCAACATATGCATCTTCTATGTTCTCTGGATTTCCCATTGCTTTATAAAACAAACAAAGAAATGCCTTGAAAGATTAAATTAAAGGATACATAATGACTCTGTATAACACAACTAAATATGATGCTGCTTTTCTTATCCTAATACGTATTTAGCCTTTAAAAGGCAAGCCAGAGATGACTGGTTCTATCTTACCGCTGAACTATTCCACACCTTAGCTTATAATTTGACATCCTTGTAATCCTTTTTTCCTTTTCTATTAAAAGAAAAAAAATTAATGAGGATACATACTTTCAGAAGGTTTAACTGCATAAAAATCTGCTTTTTGTATGTAAAAAAGTGATACAATTATAAAAATGTCTTATAAGTACTAAGTAAATATTGACTTGAAATAGTGATTCAAAATATTAAACACTTATTTTCCACAAATTACACAAGTAAATGTTATATTGTTAATAGTTTGGAAGTTGGAAATAGGTAGCTGCCATTGATATTTTCTTCAGAATCTTCAGAGAACTCTGATATTTGACATTTGGATGAGGTAATGTATAGTTTAAAATTCCCTTTGGAGGTTCCTATTACAGTTAAAAACATTTGGATAGTTGATGAAAGCTTTCTTACAGAGATGTAAGAGTATTTTCCATTTCCATTATAATTCCCTAGATAATAAAAATATTTTCTTCCAAATATATATTACATGTACACATCTCCATTGAGCAACTTCCGACAAGTAGCTGAATTTCGAGCACTCTGTTGGTCATTTAATAGTTCTATTTCATTAAGTGCTATTATTCATTTTTTTTAATGGCTAAAATGCTTTCTCTCATTTCCATGGCAGCAAATTTCTAAAAGAGCATCAAGCAAGAAGTTTCCCCATCCATGTTGACATTAACCGTTTTTAATTAAAAAAAAAGATTATTAGGCATTAAAATGATCTATTCATATTTAATGAGTTCTTTCTTGCCCCAACTCTCATGGGGGGGGGAATCATTTTGAAGAATGTTTTCTGAATGTTATTTAAGAGACAGCAGAATTTTATTCTGTTTTTTCAACTGAAGTTAATGAAGTCATTTTGGAACCTTTAATGGACCTTTAATGAACCTCCTTAAATAACAACAACAAAAACCTTATAACTGGAAATTTCCTTTAAAAACTCTTTTGAAATCCAGTAGCTTTTGTTCTTTTAAGTACACATTAGCCTAAGATTAAAACAACCATTAAAATTATTGCACAAAAACTTTAATAATATTTAAATAATTAAATAATTTAAAAATTTATTTCAAATTAAAAAAATTTTCACTGATTAAGATCCAGTGAAACTATACATATTTCACCAGAGAAACTACAGTAAAACATTAGGACTGAGATATTAATTCTGAAGACCTACCATGCATTCTCAGAGTTTTTTTCAGCTCAGTTTCCATAAAACCCACCTCATGCAGTAGAGCTTCCTATACTATGAAAACATCAGTCCCTTTTCTTCTCAGAATTTCTATTTAGCAATTACTTATCTCCTCAGATTAACAATGACTTCAAGATAATAAAACATCACAAATCATGCAGTGTATGGATGCTTCCTTGAAGACTACAAGCCTCCAAAAGAAAGACATTGTATAGCATGTATGATACAATTATAGAAACTTTTTTCCCCCCTATTAAGCACCTAAAAGAGAAATCAAGTAACTTTTAGTTTTCTTAACACAACGTAAAGCAAATCAATTCCTGTGCTGGTCAATGAATATTTTTTTAAAATTACCTACATGCAAAATGCTTTATCAATGCTCATCACTTCTCTAAAAGACAGAAAGATGTGAAATAATAAAAGTCATAACCATGAGGGTTATAGTTTTTTGCTTTTACATCATTTAATGTTAACATATCCCCAAAAGATTCTAAAATTTTATTTTCAAGAAATATTCATACTTTAATATTTAAAATTGGCATATTTCCAGTGTCATAAAAAAAGGAAACAACAGCTTAATTTAGGAAAGAAATAAAAGCTACTAATATATGAATGCAAAACTGCTGAGGCAGAAGCACACGTGAAGGATTTGGGAGAATAACTTTAGTTAAAAAAATAAAGGTGTAACTAGAGTTTGCAATATGCTTAGACTGAGTTATTAATAAGGGTTCAAGTTACTAAGTATAGGAAATATGTGGCATTTTGTTATATGGTTCATTCTACTCTGGAAAATGCTCAAGGATAAATGATGATACACTGCCTAAGCAATGAGGCCTTAAAAATAGGTGGAAGTGGTTCTCAATTGGGGAACCACCCATCAACGTCCTGCTGTTAACATCCACTCCTGGGAAAGGACATGCATGCCTCTGCTCAAAGAACTGCCACTGGAAAAGTACCTAACTGGGATCATTTGAAAATATGTAGGGGAATTTCTGGTTGTCACTATGACTGGGAGAGAGGAGGTGTACAAATGCCATTTAGTCCCCAAGGGGGAGGTTGGTTAACATCTCTTCACCATGCTAGACAGTCCTGTTAAAGACAAAATGCCAATATCTTTAATAAGAAACATCTGCTATGTAGAGTACAGATTTACAAACTTAAAGACTTTTGCAATGGAGAAAAAGATTCAGTATGTGAATATCGGGATCATAAATTTAGTTATCAAAACTCAAAGTCAACAGGATGATTTACCAGTTTGCAAAGTACATGCTAATAAAAATTACCAACAATCAGAAAGTTTATTTTCACAAATAAAAACAAAAAAATGTGGAACATTATCTTCGGGATCTGTAAGATGTTCCTGAAACAAACAAAAAAAATCGTTCTTCCTCCTCCATCCTTAAGCAATGTTTCTCAATCTTTTAAAACCCAACTTTAACTAAAGCAACCCCAAAACCTTACTGTCCACAGTTGAAAATTACTACTAAAATGCATTTTTAGCCCCATCAGCCAAAATGATTTTTATCATTGTAAATTTTTATTGCTTTCAATTTCTAAATAACATTTAATATGCTTTTAAAATAATATAAAGTTAACACCTATAATGCTTATTATGTGCTAGACACCCTGCTAAGTGCTCTCCACATGTTAACTTATTTTATCCACCTGCCCAAACCTGATGATGTAGGGATTATTATTATCCCCATTTTACAGAAGAAAAAGCTACGGTAAAATGGTTAAGTTACTTGACCCTGTCCCAGTCTGCTGAAACAAATCCATTATTTTAAAATATATATAACATTAAAAAGAAGAGATGGAAACTAAATTATCAGTAAGAATTCCCCTACAGGATTTCGATCATAAATACCTTCTTCTTTTGCTTATATTGATTTATGGCAATAAAAAAGAGGAAGTAATAAAGTAGAATAAAAAACACCTATTAGTACTTCTACCTTAGCTTGCTTTCTCCTTGTCCCTTCAACAGTTCTACCAGTCATCACTTGTCAATATCAACGAGCGTCACCAATAATTTTAACTCTTTATATTGACATTATACTCTGCAATTTATGATATTTAAGAATCTTCAAATAGTTTTTGAAGGCAATTGTATTAACTTTGGCGAACAGAAAAGGAACTAAGTAATAATTGGGAACCAAGTGAAATTCCTACAGTGAAGAACAAGTACATTTAATTAGGTTATTTGGGGAAGCATCATTTCATCCCTAATGTATCTAAATATGCTATAGTATACAGTACTTGTTAGTGTATTCTATAACCCAGTTCCAAGGGGGAAATAAATAATACATTAACATGGGGTTAAGAGAAAAAGATCACGGAATGAATTGGTTTACATTGCTATGAAAACATTTTTGAGTTTTTGGTATTTCCCCCAAATAAGATGAGGATAGTAACGCAGGTAAAACACCAGATGAAGGGAGAAAATAGGAAGACACACAATGCTCTTAACAGTGAGAGGGGAATGCAAGTGAGATACGAGTCGGGCCAGGTAGATCAAAGACTTCTGGTGAAGCTAAAAGCAACGTGGAGAAAAAGCAAACAAAGAAAACCAAAAGCCTTAAAAGGTGGAGAGACGTGTAACGAGGGGAAGTGAGTTGAAATGACATTGTGAATCGCTTTCTCGTAAATGACAAAAATAAACACATTGCCTGGGATGTTTTTCCTCCCCCACCCATCAACGTCTGTTAGCAGGGAAGGATGTGCACGCCTCTTTGTCTAGAGGCTGCCACCTAAAAAGTGGCTTTGGCTTCTTTGTAACTACTTGTAAGAAATAAATTCCTTGCCTGGAGAAACTAGATGTGGAGATAGTACAGCCTCCCACCTCTCGGTTTTCTCGCTGGAGTCTGATCTTGCTGCTCCTTGTCTCACCCGCGCGGGTGGCCGAGCACCACCTCCCAGGGAGCTACATTCAAATCCCTGGGTGGGACAGTCACCTGGGGCGGGAGACCATCACAGCTTTCTCATTTCTCCTTCCCTTTTAAGCAGCGGCCTGGACCGACTTCCTGTGACAAGGAAACCCAGGGTCGCCACCCGAATTTGCCGGACGTGTCTGGCCGCGCTCCCTACCCTGCAACTCTAGAGCTCGGATGTCTGGACTCAGAGAACCTCTTGCCCACGGGCTCTTTATCGTCCTTCCCTCTCCTCGCAACTCAGCACCTTCTACCCTTCATTATCTCCCAAAACTAAGGGGTTCCAGATTTCTACAGGCCTTAGCTTTCCAGCCCGCCGCTACCGGGGCGAGGAAATCGCTTCCGGGTTCACACCCGAACTACCTCGCGGTTGGCAGTGGAAGAGGTTCCGGGTCGGCGGCCCGGCTGCTGCTGTTTCTGCTGCTTCTTGCTGGGGCTGCGGGCTGCCTGGGGCTTGTGGCGGGTGACTTGGGGACTGAGGTGGTGTCGGCGGGCACGCGGCTGAGCGGGAGGCGGGGTAGGGGAGGAGGGCGGCTGGAGCTTTGCGCGCGCTCGAGAGCACTAGGCTGGAGCATGAGCCGGACTTGACCGCGAGGCGGAGGCAAGAGCCACCGCCCCCTCTTCCCCTCCCCCGAGTGGAGCTGCGCGGCGGGCGGGAGAAGGATGGGGGTCGCCCGCGGACTCTGAGCCTCGCCGCGGGCGCTTCTGGCTCACGCAGCGTGCCCGCGAGTCTCCAGTGCGCACCCTCGGCCCCAAAAGCCTCCGCCCGGCGGGCGCACCCGGACCACCGAGTAGGGGGCGCCTGCCCAGGTGGGTGGGGCGGAGGGTAGTGAGTGTGTACCTGAGGTCACCGGCTCCGCGAAAGAGGCAGGGGCGGCCGCGACGGTGGCAGAACTGCAGAGGTGCGGGGTCCCTCCGACCCGTAACCCTCAGCCTGGGAAGTAACCGTAAGTCTCGGCTTCGCGGTACCGGTGTGTTTGAGGGTGTCTCAGCCCATTTCGGACTGCCTAGTTCACGCCCTCCCGGGTCCTGTGGAGGATTGTCTGTCTTTCTGTCCGTCCGTCCCCATTCCTGGACAAGCACAGTCCTCTGTCTTCCCCATGAAGCATTTCTCCCAGTGAATTTGCAAGCCTCCGGGTCTCTGTGGCGCGTCCCATCCTCCCCATTCTGGACGCGTCTTCTCGTCACTATCCTTAAAGGGTCTATATCCTCCCTCTTTTTCTTTCGGTACCTTAGACCCCCAGCCTCCCCCTCCCATCCCTTGAGATGTGGAAAGCCACGGGATCGCGAGGGCTAGAGAGTCTTGAGCGGAAGAATGAAAGTGCTCTGCAGGGCTGTGATGGGTGGGGTAGGTACAGATGGCTCTTGTGAACCTTTAGTTTTGCAGCTTCTGCCACCAAAACAAAAGAATGGGCCTCTCCCTTGGAGAGGCCAGTAGGCACTCTGAAATCTGGCACTGTGTTGGATTCTGAGACTATAAGGATAAATAGTTAAGATTGCTTTCTTCATTCCTCTCGCTTCCTAACTGTGTTATACACAGTTTTCTGTACGTTACTCTTTGAGTCTCAGAGAATTAGGACTAGAACTGTCACTAAGCATCTCCTGAGGACGTTTTGAGAATGTTTCTCACAAACTCTCTTCACACGAATGGCACATTGAACAGTCTAGTATTGAAATGAAGACCCATTCCGTAAGATCTTTAATAGTGAAAACAAAAGTCTGATGATTCAAATGTGTTTTGGATTTACATTTAGTTCTTAATTTACAAAGTGTATAGTGTGAACATCTTTGTATTGGAAGATTTTGTTTTGTTAATGGTTAAAAAAACACTAGAGTGATTTTTAAAGATTCTATCAGATTATATTTGGTAAGGTATTATTTGAAATCCTTAATTCCAGAGCCCCCCCTTAAAAAAAAAAAAAAACACGAACCACATTTAGATCAGTACCTACAGATGTTACACACCTTGGTTCTAGAAATATGTGACCTTCCTGCTTCTTTGTTTAAAAAGAAATTAACTGTATTTCCAGATTTTGGACTAGGCAGTTTAACTCATTAAAATTTGGTTTGCTTTGTGAACTAAATTATTACTACAGAAAATAGATTTTAAAATAATTGTAATGTCAGTGACGGGACAATAGCTCTTACAGGCCTTAATGCACTATAGGAAACATGATAATTTAAGAATAAGTTTACTCTGTGTATCACAGGTTCTTTGTTATTATTCTGTAAAGTGTTCTGTAATATTAATTGTCAGCCATTGTTTTCTTTTTCCTGAAAACGCTTTGTTAAAGGTAGATGTGTTTAAGGATTTGTTTGTTAGTTTTCAAAACCTTCGAGCAGTTGATTGTGGCTGTGATTTGATTTGTAACTTCATACTGTTCACAGACTTTGGTTTGAAGTAGGCTCAGGAGATGTGGTTCCAGCTGTCTCTCTGGAAATTACCTTGATGACTCCTGTCAGAAGCCAAACACTGTATAGGGTTGAGTGTATTATTAGTGAAGTGATGGGCAATAACTTGAAAAGGTCTTTTTAGAAGAATTCATTGATCCCTATTATTCTTGGAGGTAGGGTATAGAAATAGGACTGTGTTTTCATATTAGGACTGTGTGTTCATATTACATTTTTTCCCTTGCTCACTACACTGGGAATTTGGAGTCTTCATTACAAAGGGTCTCTGAAACTGAGCAGACTGTGCCAAGTGTGGGCTCTAACAGGTAACTGTTGAGGCATGGAAGTTTTGTTATATATCCTTTTGTATTTCTGTACTACTGCCCACTTTTGAGATAGTTGACTTTCTTTCCTTTCTTGTCTGGGGAGTGCATTTGAGTTTGTGAAAGTAAAATACGTGTGTTTACAACTTACTTTTGTAAGTAAAAATTTAAGCTAGTTTTTATGTGTAAAGAGATGGAAGAAATAGAAATTAAATTTATCTGATTAACCTTGAATGGAAGTTAGAAGAAGTTCCTCAATACTCTTGGTACATTTTCCACCTTTGAGGATGCACACAACAGTTTTTTTTTAATGAAATTTAAAAATACTTCAATCTAATATTAGACTTTATATGTGACACATTTGCCAAAACAGATTTGAGAGTCGCTCAGTCATTAAAAAAGACCAGTCTGAGGTGAGTTTTTATTGCATGGTTCTAAAAATGCTTAGAAATTATATTTTCGTTCTTAAAGTGACTTGCTTGAGGCATAGTAATTTGTGGACTCATTTTCATTTTCAGACAACCTCACACTACCTCTTTGTTTCTTTTCCAGAAAAGTTAGTTTCTTATTTCATTTCAGTAAATCTTTATTGACTACATACTATGGGTGCCATGCACTGTGTTGGATTCTGGGACTATAAGGATAAATAGTTAAGATTGTTTTCTTCATTGAATTTGCTAAGTTAAGATATTTAACTTACTCTGTTTGTACGCCTTTACAGATTTCTCTAATAAGTTTTAAAGTCACTTGACTGTGTTTCAGGGTTGTTTCATATCCTTCCTATAAGAATAAACACCATAAATGCTATTTATTGAGTGCATATTTCTTCCTAGCCACCGTGCTAAGGGCTTTATTTATATTATTTCATTTAATTCTTTTTATAGCTTATTTTTATTGTATTTTTTCATTACCATTTACCCCCTTATACCTTCCTCCACCTTCAACCACTCCCAACCCCTTCTGCGGTCAACGTTGACCGTGTCCATGAGTTCTTTTAATTTTTTTCTTGATCCCTCCACCCCCACAGCTCATTTAATTCTTAGAACAGTCCTAAGAAGGATTTATCTCAATTTAAGAACCGTACAAATTCTGGTTTCTACTAATGCTGAATGTTGTTTTATATATAATATGCTAGAAAAGATTTTACCTTACAATTTCTCCTTCAGGGGAAAAAGTTGTAATATAGTTCTAAGTTTTTAATTACCTAATAATGCTTTAAATTGAAACATTCTAATTCCATTAGGTACCTTTGGTTTTCTAAAGCAAATGAATTGTTACCAAAAGGTAATTTTAAGTTGTTTAAACCTTTGAAAAGACACTTCTGAAGTTTATAATGGTTAACTGTAAGAGGTCTTCTGGCATGCATAACTTTTTTTGCTAGTTCAGCATTAGGACTTGGGGCCTATAATGTATTAAACAATGTGTGTGTTCTTCAGGATGGACAGAGAATTGAGATACATGAAATCTATTCAGCTTTAAACATTTTTTAGCTTAAATTTTATAGCTATCTAAATATCTTGGAGAGCTTTGGTTTCTGTAATGAAAATGTATTTCTTCAGATTTAAATCTGATCTTACTTATCTATTAATAGCATATATGCTTCATAAGCAACTTGATAGCATTTAATCTAGTCATTTTCAGACCCTCTCACATTTGTTAAAAGATGTTCTTCCACTGTGACCTCTTCCAACCAGAAGTCTCTTTTATATTATAAAATTTTTATTATTATTGATATTGTTATTATTTACCCAAAACTGTCAACAATTTGCTAGTCTTTAGGCTAAGACCCTTTGCTACTGATTATATACTTTTTGGTTTTAGGACTTTAGGACAGATAATTATTCCTCCTCTAAGTTCCTAAGAGAGGTAATCCTTGATGATTTTTTAAGCTAAGTCTGACATGTATTTTTAACTTCACATAGACAGTTTCTCTTTTTCATTGTAGCAGAGTCCTTGGTAATCAGTCACTTTATTTTCTGATTGGAACAATATTGTGTGTAGAATTCCTGTTCAAGGACGTGACAATGACTAAATTATAAATGTGTTAGACGCTGGGACCAAAAAGATGAATAAGTCAGGATTCCTTTCCTCATTGAACTGCAAAATGCCTCTTTAAAGTCCATGAAGAGAAAGGAAGGTTCATTTAAAAACACTGAGATACTTTTTTCCAATTAGGCATAAAAACATCGCCCCCCCTTGTTAATGTATCCCCTCAGAGTATTGTAAAGGAAGAAATATAAATTAATATAGTAAGCCAGGGTTTTCATTCTATGTCATGGTCTCAGACAATGGCTGATTATCATTTGCCTTAGCACTAGCTATTCTATAGTATATATTTATTTCATATTTTAAAATTATTTTGAAATAATTTTCAACTTACAGAGAAGAGTGCAGAACGGTACAAAGTACTCCTTCACTCAGATTCCACCACTGTTAATTTTTTACTGCGTTTCTTCCATCATCTGCCCTCTCTCTTTCTGTCTCCATACATGCATTACATACTCATTATCATAGTTTTTTCTGAGAACCCTTCTAGAGCAGGGGTGTCAAACTCATTTTCAGCAGGGGCCACATCAGCCTTGCGGTTGCCTTCAAAAGACTGAATATAGTTTTAGAACTTTATAAATGTAACTACTCCTTAACTAGAGGCAAAGAGCTTAGTGCTGCTGTCGGGTAGAACCAAGGTACTGGCCACGTGAAACAAGGCGGAGGGCCAGATTCAGCCGGCAGGCCTTGTGTTTGCCACCTGTGTTTTAGAGCAAGCTGCAGATGTGTTCCATCGCCCATAAACCCTGCACTTTCTATCCCAGAAACAAGGTACATACTGATATAACCAGCATATAATCCTCCAACTCAGAAAATGAGCATTGGTCCCACACCACTCCCTAGCACAGAGAACCTATTCATATTTCATCAACTATCCCAACAATACCTCTTTTCTGGTACAGGACCCTATGTAGGAATACATGTTGTTTTTATTGTCATGTCTCTTCAGACTTCTTCAGCTGCTTTTTTCTTTGACAGTTTTAGAATAAGTACAGGCCCTACATTTGTAGAATGACCCCCAACCTAGGTCCATGTGATACTTCCACATGACTCCAGTCAGGTCATGCATTCCTGGTAGGAATACCACAGAAACGGGACTGTACCCTTCTCAGCACACTGCGTGCAGAGGCGTGCAGTGGCAAACCACACCTCTCTGTCACTGTGTTTGTGTTGGTGTGCCTTTGTAT